AGCAGATCTTAAAATTAAGCCAAATTACACAGGAGGAAGCTGACACAGAGAGGTTAAGTAACTTGCCAAAGGTCACACAGCAGAGAAGGTGGAAAAGCCAGGCTTTAAACCCAGATGATCTGGTTCTGGAGCCCATGCTCTTGAGAACTGAACTAGGTTGCCTGCTGCTCTGAGAGGTAGGGTGAACGTGGAGTGATAATGACTGTGCTTGGGGGAACGTGGGGGACAAGCTCGAGCACCAGGTGGCCTGTCCCGGCTGACTAGGCAGGAAGAGACCTCAGGATCACACTGTTGGGACCTTGCATCTGAGGCTGGCCTGAGCCGAGGCTCTTAGTTAAGTGTGGGATTTTCCCCTTACACCTTGGCCTTTTGAGGACTCGATGATGTCAGCAGGTTGTGCCTGCTGGAGGAGGGAGGAAAGGGTCAGGGGTCCCGGAATCTGGACCTGACTCCTCTGGGGGCTACTGAGGAACCAGCAGTGACAGGGCATCGCCACGAGCATCTGGGACCAACCGGTCGGGCGCGTCAGGGGCAGAGTCCATCCGGCTCTGGGGCTGCCCTTGAGGTTGCAGGCTCCACTTCAACCGGGAGCCTGAGAGGAGGGAGGACAGGCATCCAAGGTCGGTGTGGCCTTGGGTCTGAGCCCTGGAGGATGCGGCTGATCTTAACAGGTAGAGTTAAGGCTTGGAGGCCTGCAGCCTGGGATGTGCCAGTCACAGGGGCTCGGATCAGCCTGGCCAGTGGTTTCCAGTCACCTGGGCAGTGTGTGTACAGATTCTTGGGTCTCACTTCCAGAGAGGGTGATGCTGCAGATCTGGGGAGGGCCCCACAAGCACCCTCCCAAAAAGTGATTGGGACTGTCAGGCAGGTTTGGGGATTGCTGATCTTCCCAGTGTCTGCATTTACATAGGAAGATATGGAGGTCCAGGGAGGTGAAAGGTCACCACTAGGGGCATTGCCATTTGCCTGGAGTTAGGGGCTGTGTGTGTGTGTGTGTGTGTGTGTGTGTGTGTGCACGCGCGCGCGCGCGCACAGGGGTCACTGTGGTTGGGGGAAGAGCTGGGTTAGGGCAATGCTAGAAGTCTGGGCTATTCCAGGTGGCAATGGGGAGCTGCTAGGTGCTACCGGGCAGCTATACTCAATGAGCTAACGCTCTCAGAACAGCATCTGGCACATCATAAATAACCCATACGTGTTAATATGTGCATTCATGTTGTCATTAGCTTTACTGAACCAGAGCCTGGGGCAGTGGATTTTGAAGGACTCATGGGTGATTCTGAGGCCCAGCCAGAGTTGACGACCACTGGGCCACAGCATGAGCTCCTTGAGTCTGGAAACTGTCCTATGGTCTCTAGAGCCCCAGCCCAGGCCCTGGAGCCCAGGAGGAGGTCGGTGAGTGCCTGTGAGGTCAGGCTGCAGGGGGATGCAGGTGGGCCGGCAGAGGCTGGAGGCAGGGAGCCCAGGGATGAGGCTGGGTGGCAGAGAGGATGGAGAACCACTAGGGTGTCTGGCTGGGGTGCCACAGTGGTGCCTCTCAGGGGATGGGGACTGGGTGGGGAGCCATGGCGTCAGTGCCAGGAGCTGGGACACAGAAGGAGGACAGAACCTGTGGCGCTGGTTTCAGGGGAGTGATGGAGGGGTGGACTTGGAGGAGGACTTTTTTTCAAGAACTTCAGCTATAGAGGGGGGACAGGGAAGAAGTGGCCCGGAGAGGGGACAAGTCAAGGTTGTCCTTTCCGCCGGGGCGAGAGATGTGCACACGTTTGTGGGTTGGGGTGCGGGGGCCAGGAGCAGCTGAGAACACAGGCCCGGGCCAGGGGCTGACCCACAGCCCCTGCGAGGTGGGAGAGACAGTTGGCCTGGAGCAGGGACCACCCTGGACAAGGGGTGAGCCCCCGGGGGCCTTGGGAGGGGTGTCACTGTTGACAGTGGATGAGAAAATTCAGGTGCTGCTGTTGTTGCAGAATATTTTCTTGGGGGATGAGGACCCTGTGCCCAGGGGAAGACTGTGGATGTGGATTTGGGGTGGCCGCCTGCAGAGGCCTGTGGCCCCCGCCTTGCACACTCCAGGGCTGGTGGGGCTGGTGGGGTGGGCTTGGCCCGAGCTGTGGGAGGCTGCTCCTGGGCGTGAGGCCCGTCCTGTGACCCACCAAACCTCAGCCTCCAGGAAGAGGCTAAAAATAAGGCTGTGGTAAAGGAGGGAGGGGCTGTGCGGGCCTGAGCCAGGCTGGAGCCCAGAGGAAAATCTGAGGCGACCGGCGAGCTGCTGTGACATACGCTTCCTGTGCCAGCGGGCAGCCGGCTCTCACCCTCCCGTGGCCGTGGCCTCCTCCAGGCCCGGAAGAGGAAAAACAAGCCCATAAAGGCTCAGACAGGGTCTGACCTTGGGCCTCACAGCCTGCAGGAGGCTCTGCTCCCTGGGAAGGTTCTCTCTTGACTTTTTCCTAGAGCTAAGACCTCGGACCCAAGACTGGGGGCCAGGGAGTGGTGGGTTGGGAGTATCCAAAACTTCCTGTGTCCTGGGAACTGCCCAGGACTTCCCTGAGACCTTAGATGCCCATCTAGATGTGGAGAAATGCTCCTCCCCCTAGCAGGAGCACTGTGTGGTAGAGGAAGTCCAGGGAGGCTTCCTGGAGGCAGAGGCAAATGCTGGTGCTTGAAGTCATGGATGGGGAAGTGTTCAGTTGGATGGCTGGGATGTGCTGCAGGGAGGAAGTGAGAGTGTTGTGATTTGCTGTGGACATGTGACACCTTCATCATGACCACTTTTGACATGGCCTCCCTCCCAGAAAGTAAGCCTGTGTTTTCTGCAGATCTATGTCCCTCCTCTGAGCTGTGGATGGGGACCCGCCTGCCACCTCCTGACTCCATGCATCCTTTCATCCACCCAACACCAAAATCTCAACAGTCTCTGTTCTGGTCCTGGAGGTGACTCTTCATGGCCCCTGCCTTGCTAGAGGGGGACGAGGTGACACTCACCCATCTGTCTCTGCATCCACCCCACAGAGAGACCCTGTGGGCCAGCTGTGTGCTGGGCTGGGGGCTGGAGGCCTCCGAGGCATGCAGAAGCAGTGCGGCAGGAGAATACGCTTTGGTTTTCGGCACCAGACTTGGTTTCAGATCTCACCTCCGAAACCTAATGCGCTGTGTGACAGATGAATTCATGTCTTAGAGCTTCAGATGGTGTCTGGACTAGACTTGGAGGAGTGGCAGGAATTAGCAAGCTGACAAAGTTGTACCAGGACAGAAGAGGAAGTGCACGGGTCGGGCTGTGAGCAGTTTGGGGGGCCTGGAGCAGGGGGTGCGGGTGGATGGTGGCACCCTGAGCAGCGAGGCTGGAGGGTGGGGTTCACAGGGCTCAACCTGCAGCCTGCAGTCCCTGATGGGACTCTGAGGCTGGGTCGGGGCACCTCGCATGTCCCACTAGTGGCCTTGCCATCCACAGCCTGGGACCGGCCCCTGGCTTCTGCCTTCAAGGCAAGCCGCAGCCCGCCTGGGTTATTAAGTCATTAACTGGGCCTCACACAGCCTCTTCATTATGGGTAATTATGGTGAATCCACTCAGGGCGTTAACAAGGAGGGAGCCAGCTTCTCTGGGCTGCCAGGCTGCGAGGACATCAACCAGTCTGGCCCTGCAACCCCGGACATCATCAGCATCCCAGCCTGGGTCTCAGGAGGGACAGGGACATTCCATCCTCCTCACCCCTTTTGCGCCCCCAGCCCCAGCTGGAGGATGGGACCCTCATACAGAGCTTGGAGACTCCACTTCCCTCCACTTTCCTGTTGCGTGACTTTGAACACATGGTCTCACCTTCTATGTCTCGGTTTCCTCATCTGTCAAGGGGGTAGTAGTACCAGCCTCCTAAGGCTGTATGAGGATTAAACAAGCGTTTAATGCTCAATAATGCAAGCCGTCGTTATTTTTAATGCTGTCGTCATCGCCATCATCATGATGAACCTCTCCCCTCTGGGCATTCCCCAAAGGCCTCTGTCCCCTGTATAGAGGGCTCCCAGGGGCAAGGCCCTGTCTCCTCTTCCTTTCTCACCTGTCCCTTCTCAGTGCAGATGTGCTGTGGGCATAGTGGCTCTGGCCTGTGGCCCATGGGTCCTGCTGTCCTCGGAGGTAGGCTGAGGTGGGGACCCCCCGAGGTCCCCTCAGGAGTCCTGGTTGAGTGCCGTGAGAGGGCCAGGATCCTGCCAGCCCCTCCACGCGGTCGCAGCTCTGTCTGTTGGCAGCAGTGGGTGGTTTCTAGGTGTTGTAGTTCTCCGCCTTGACACGCATAGCCCTAATGGGAAAGAAAACAGAGGTAGCTGGGACTGGGAGCAGGTGCGGCCCCAAAGAGTCTGCTTCCCGCAGGGAAGCAGGCCCAGAGCCTTGCCTGCTTTCCTCTGCATCCCAGCTCCTGCGCCTGGAGATGGGGGGTCCTGGTTATCATCCCGAGGACAGCTGGGATGAGTGTGTGTATTTGCACGTGTACGTGTTCGGGCGCATGTGCAGGTGAGCCGGTGTGTGTTGCTGTGAGCCACCCTGCCCCCTCCTTGGCCAGAGGGCTCCCTACAGCTTTCAGGCCTGCCCAGTGCTCTCTGGGCTGTGGGCTTGGTGGTCACCCCGAGGGCAGGGCCCACGTCTGCTGCTCAGGTCCCAGCACCCGATCCAAGGCTGGGCCACAGGTGGGTAAGAGGCCCCAGATGGTAGGTAGGAGGTGTGGCTGCCCACCGGGCTGCGTGACCACAGAGAATCCTTTCCTGTCTCTGCCCCTCAGGCCCCTGCAGTGCAGAGTGAGGGGTGGGATCCTGTCCCCAGGCTGAGCACGAAAGGCCCCACTGGGGACAGGAGGGAAGTCTGGCCAACCTGTGCAGGGTGGAGGTTGCAGCAAGGTGGGAGTTCTGCAGATGGGGCCAGGCTGGCCCAGGGTCGCCAGGTGGGATGGGGCAGTGTGGACACTCCAGCATCAGACGGGCATCAGACGTGGCCAGTGAGCACCTCTGTCTCCCTCCAGGCGTCCTTCTGGACATCCAGCAGCACTTTGGGGTCAAGGACCGAGGCGCCGGCTTGCTGCAGTCAGGTGAGCCCCCTGCCCAGGCGTTAGCATCTTGGGTCTCCCTCCTGTTGGCCCTGCGTCTACCCGGTCTCTCCTCTCCAGCCTGGACTCCCAGACAGCGCATGCGCTTTGCATCCCAAACCCACTGTTGCCACCGCTTCTCTGAGCCTCTGCCTCTTTTCTCATAACAAAACGAGTAACACCTGTCCTGGGGGTATGGGAAATAAATGAGAGTATAGGTCAAAAGCCGGAGCCCATGAAAGGGACCCTTCCTTTGGATCTCGGGCCCTCACTGGGACCTGGTGATCTGGGTTCCATCCTGAGGCTGGTGAGGGGAACTCCTTAAGCCAGTGGGTTGGGCAATACCAGCAGAGCCTTGGTGACCCTGTTCCCATCCCCTGCTCTCCCTGCATTCCTTCTACCACCATCAACCTGGGAATCACCTGTTAGATGACAAGGTGAAAACTCCACTGCTCAGACCCAGAGTGGCTCCTGAGAAGCTGGATCCTGGCCTAGATTTGGGCCTGAGGCTCCCTGCCCCCTTCTCTGGGCCCAGCGTCTGATGGGTGGCCAGGGCCAGCACCTGGGTCCCGCAGGTGTAAGTTGGGCCAGGGCAGTGTGGGAGGCTGTTAGGCACTTTTCCTAGCCTATCAGCACCCGCTCCGGGGACCATGTTTCCCTTGTCCCTGCCCTACCCCAACATGGCCCAGGGGAGCGAAGCTGAGGCCATGTAGGCTGTGCCCTCAGCAGGACACCTCAGGCCTGGGCAGAGACGCACTCTAGTGTGGCAACCCAGAGCTGGGGCAGGAGGCCTGGTCCTGACTTGGCCCCAGCCTTGCTGTGTGGCCCTGGCCTCGTCCCTGCCTGTCCCTGGGCCTTTGGCCCTGGAGTCCGTCTGGCTATGAGGCCCAGTCAAATGTGTGGGAGAAGGTCCCTGGTCTGCATTCTAGTGGTAACCCCCCTCCCCTGCCTGCCTTCCCAGGAGGGAGGGGTGGAATGAGCTGTCCAAGAACCTGCTTGACCTGTCTAGGTGGCATTCCAGTTCCACAATGCCTCCTGAGTTCACAGAATGCCACAGCCGCTCAGCCTGCCAGGCCAGCTGCCCCTATATCCTGGAAGGGGGCTTGGGGGCTCAGAAAATGGGGCTATGATGGCTCCAGGGCTCCACAAAGCCTGAGTCTGCTAGGGTGGCAAAGCTGCGTGGTCCGGTATCCCCTGGCAGACATCACCTGGCGGACATGAGCCAAACCCCCTCCCCTGCCCCTTCCTGGGCCTCCCTGGCTGGGACAGAACAAGCCAGCCTGTCCTGTGGCCTAAGACATGTCCTTCTGGCCTGCTGGGCTCTGCACATGTGGCGACCAGCACCTAAGCTGGGAAGATGGATTTCATGCCAGGTGGGAGTGTGGGAGGGGGATGGGCTGCCAGGCTGGCAAGGAAAGGGCAGGAGAGGGCCTAGCTGCCCCGCCCCCACCCTGCTTGGCCCCTGAGTCATGGGGGACCTGGCCTGAGCCTCATCACCTCCTGGCCTTGGCCTTGTTGACCGATCGGGAGTGAGGCTCTACCCAGAGCCGCCCCTCAATTTCACCCCCAGTGAGCGAGGTCAGGGCCAGACAGCCTCCCAGGGAGTGGGGCATAGGAGGGGGCGTTGGCCCCAAGGCAGGTATGAGGGTCCCAGCACCCTGGTTCCTTAAGTGGTTATGTCCCAGCTGGCCTCTTGGCTCATGAGAGAGGCCGTGCAGTCCCTGCTTCTCCTTGGTGACCCGGCTTGAAGTGGGCAAGTCACCCACAGGCATCATGTTCCTGATTCTCCCAAGTAACCCTGCAGGCTCCATTTGTGAGCTTCACTTGCCTCAGACAGCTCGCGTAAGGGCTCATGGCGGAGAGATCCCCACTCCGGCCTCTGCACATGCTGCCACCGAGTGTCTGGCATCTCAGTGTCCCTAGGGTGGGTGCCGCTGGGCCATGCTGGAAATTCCCAGCACTGTCAGAGGCCTGCCAGTCCTTACTCCGTGGCCCTTACCCTACCGCCTACCTGCGGTGCAGCCGGGATGGATCCCAGGGCATCCTCGCCCCTTCAGCCATCTGAGCCAAGAAGCCAGTCAAGCTGGACCAGTGGGCAGCCAGGCAAGTCACCTAATTGCCCTGTGCCCCAGGCACCTGTGCCTTCCCAAGCCCGATAAGGTCGGGGCCAGGTGGAGGGCGCCAGCCAGGTGCTGGTGCTCGCCCAGATCAAAGGGCCAGGGCTGAGAGCAGGGCTGCCTGCTTATTTGTGGGCACCAGGGGCTGCTGGGCCTGGAGGCAGGGTGGGGGGTGACTGAGGGTTAGGCCTGGGCCTGCCCCTGCTCTTTCCCCTCGGGACCAGACACGACAACTGGCTGGGGAAGAGCCCACTTTCAGAAGCCCCCTTGCAGACTGCCAGCTCAGGCCTGGCGCGAGTGGCCCACAGGAGGCACAGCTCAGCCTCTGTGAAAGCCCACGGCAGGGTTACAGCTCTTGGGTCTTGCTGTCATGGGAGATCAGGATATACTCTGTGGCCTACACCTAAAGGGGCAGCTGTCACTGAACCTGCCGCTTGGCAGGCCCTGTGCTGGGCTCTGCCCAGGTTCAGTCCTGGACCTTAGGCAGGTTCCCTCTATCTGTGGGAGCAGAAAAGGTATTATTCAGTCACCACCCAGGCACACAGGGACTGTGGGAACAGTGGATGACAGAGCATGTGCACCTAGCTCTGGCTGGGGGCAGGTGCAGAAGACTTCCCTGAGAACGGGACATTTGAGTGGGGCTTTGAAGGATGAGTTAGAGTTTATTCTGGGGAAAGGACTTCTGGTCAGTGTGTCAGATCGAGTAGATGTGCGAAACCCTCCTTCCTCCTCAAAGCTAGGTAAAATAGCCGGATGTGGTGGCTCACGCCTGTAATCCCAGCATTCTGGAGGCCGAAGCAGGAGGATCGTTTGAGCTTGGGAGTTCGAGACCAGCCTCAGCAAGAGCGAGACCCCCCGTCTCTACTAAACATAGAAAAATTAGGCGGGAGTGGTGGTGCATGCCTGTAGTCCCAGCTACTTGGGAGGCTGAGGCAGGAGGATTGCTTGAGCCCAGGAGTTGGAGGTTGCAATGGGAGCTACAATGACACTGCTGCACCCTACCCAGGGTGACAGAGCGAGATTCAGTCTCAAAAAAAAAAAAAGCTAGATAAAATATGCCAAGAAGACATCTTTAAATTACATAACTGAGCTTGAAAGCTGAAGCTAACAGGGAAATTCCCAGGTGCCAGAAGCAAAGAGCTGAACTCAAAAAACTGGAGTGGGAGCTGCAATTAAAGCCGAGTGATGCAGAGTGTTTAGGGACCAGATGTATAGAAGCTTGTTATAGTACTTTTAATATAAACATTTTTATCATGCAAAATTTTGAACAATCATAAAAAATAGAGAATATTATAACAAACTTCCACATACTCATCAGCCAGATTCATCCAAGTGTCACCATTCTGGCCCAGTTTCCAGACTTGGGGTTTCCTCACTCCGAGGACGGGGCAATGCAGGGTTGGGTTCCAGTGTCACGTGGGTGATTCAGTTTCCACCCAAGCTCCCTGATCCCAGGCTGCGTCCCCAGGCTGGCGGGCGGTTTTGCTGGTGGAGCTCCCTTTCACGGATGGACATTTCCTTCCTGGCTCTGGGTTTATGCAGAGAGCCCAGTTCCGGTCCCTGCTCTGCACAGGCCTGCAGCTTCCACTCCCTTCCCCATGCAGGCCTTTTGTTTCCAGGGACCCCAGCGGAAGTCAATCCCAAATGCTCTGTAGGGAAGCCTTCGTGACCCAGAACCTACAGGGGACACAGGTGACAATTCCCACTGGAGCCAAACTCAAATTGAAAATTATTAGAACACACAGGAATTTCACCTCTGTGAGGAATCAGTCAGCCCCGAAAATGGGAAAATAGACTGAAGAAGTGCAAAGAATAGACTCTTCTTAAAGGAACTTTAAAATTAGGTATGCTTAATTTTCAAAGCTCTAAAGGAAAGGGTAGGATTTGTAAGACAGGAATAGACCAGCCTGAGCAAGAGTAAGATCCTGTCTCTACAAAAAATAGAAACATTAGCCAGGCGTGGTGGTGTGTGCCTATAGTCCCAGCTACTCGGGAGGCCGAGGCAGGAAGAGCACTGGAGCCTAAGAGTTTGAGGTTGCAGTGAATTATGATAATGCCACTGCACTCTAGCCAGGGTGACAGAGAGAGGCTTTGTCTCAAAAAAAAAAAAAAAAAAAGAATAATACATTATGAAAAAAGAACAGGGACATGTTTAAACTAATATTCAAAAATTCTAGAAGTAAAAAATGTAAGTATTGAAATAAAAAATTTAATAATTAGATGAGTTAATGAGTAGATTAGACCCAGTCGAAGAGACACTGAGCAAATTAGAAGATGGACCTGAGGAAATGAGCATAAATGCGGCACAGGGAGGAGGGAGTGAGAGTGAAGGTTGTTTGTGTCACTGCCTGGCTTTAGGGACCTGTGGTTTGTTAGCCATGGGCTGGAGTGTGGGGAGAATGGAGGGAGAGAAGCCTGGACAGCGGGCAGGGCCTGACTGTGAAAGGCTTGAAGGCGAGGATAAGCACTGGATTTTGTCTTGGGGCAGTGGGGAGCCAGAGAAGGTTTTGGGGTAGATCTGTGTAAGATATGTGTATCCCAGTGTTCACTCTGGGGCCACGTGTAGGAATGAAGGGCAGAGGAGGCTGGAGGGCCAGGGCTGGGGTTTGTAGGGTCATGAGGAAGTGACGGGATGGGAGAGGGGGAGAGTGGGGAGAGTGGGGATAGAGGAAGAGCCAGCTCAGACTGAAACCAGACAGCGCCTCTGCTTTGGGGCTGTCTCCTTCTGGCCATGCTCCCCTCCTCTCTTGGCCAGCGCGGTGGCATCCTCCAGCTTCAGCGGACTCAGTTCTGAAGGCAAAGCTGGCAGCCCCTGTGGCTGTCCCCTAGGGTCCTCCCGCTCAAAGGGAGGTCCAAGAATCTCATTCTCCCTGAGGCCTGAGGGGC